CACCCTCTGTACGATACCACAGTGGTGGCTCCTAAACACTACGCACTTATCAGAACGTGTAGAACTGCGCAACACAATGGGTGAACCCTCATGGAAGCCACAAACTTTACCTAATAATCATGTATCAGTGTTGGTTTATCAACTGTAAAAATGTACCCCACCAACGTAAGATGTTAATAGTAAGGGAAATTGTGTGTGTGGAGAGGGAGATTAGTATTTGGGGGTTCTGTACTTTCTGTGCAATATTTCTATAAACCTAAAACTGCTCAGAACAATACAGTTTATTAGAATTTTTAAATAGAGATTGGGTGCAGTGGCTCATGCCTAAATCCTGGCACTTTGGGAGGCCAAGAAAGGAGGATTGCTTGAAGCCAGGAGCTTGAGAGAGAACATGTATCTATATAGAGAGACCATGAGAGAGACTATGTCTCTACAAAACAGAGAGATACCACGTCTCTACGAAAAATACAAAGTAAAAAATAGCTAAATATGGTGGCAGGTGCTTGTAGTCCTAGCTACTCAGGAGGCTAAGGCTGGAGGATTGCTTGAGCCAAGAGTTTAAAGCTGCAGTTAGCTATGATCATGCCACTACATTCCAGCCTGGGCCACAGAGCAAGACACTGTCTTAAAAAAAAAAAAAAAAAAAAAAAAAAGTTTTTAAAAGCAATTCAGGGCTGGGCGCGGTAGCTCACACCTGTAATCTCAGCACTTTGGGAGGCCGAGGCGGGTGGATGATGAGGTCAAGAGATCGAGACCATCCTGGTCAACATGGTGAAACCCCGTCTCTACTAAAAATTCAAAAAATTCGCTGGGCGTGGTGGCGCGTGCCTGTAGCCCCAGCTACTTGGGAGGCTGAGGCAGGAGAATTGCCTGAACCCAGGAGGCAGAGGTTGTGGTAAGCCGAGATCGCGCCATTGCACTCCAGCCTGGGTAACATGAGTGAAACTCCGTCTCAAAAAAAAAAGCAATTCAAAGTCCTTGAAAGTTTTATGCCAGTGATGATCCAATTTATATTTTCAAAAAGCTTACCTGCAATTGTGTGAATAATGGATTATGAAGGTCTAAGTAGGGACCATTCCCAGGTAGAAGGTGAAAGCCATAATCAGGCTTAGTAAGAGGAGGGTGGCGGCAGTGAAGATGGAGAGAAGCAAGTAGAAACTGGGATAGCTTCTGGGGAAAGAGCCAGCGGGAATCACTGAGAAATCGAATGTGATGTGGAAGGTCAGAAACATGGAGGAATCAAGATTAATAAAGGCTCACAGAGGGCTTATTTTGGCAGGCACTGTTCTAAGAATGTTACCAATATCATCTCAGGTAGTCCTAAGCAAACCTTGTGAGGCAGATGTTAGTTCACTAGCCATCCTGTAGACGTCAAAGCCAGTCCACAGAGAAGTGCCTCTTCGCCTGCCTGTGGTCATGCACCTGGGCAGGGACAGGCTTGTGAGATGCACCCAGGAGTTTTGGCTTCAGAGACCATGTTCTTACCTTCTTGATACTGAGGATTTTGGCTTGGGAAATTGATGGATGTTAGTGACAACTACCAAAATGTGGAAGTTTAGGGAAGAAGTATTTGACAGTGCTCCTTCCCCCCGCCCCCACCTCTCTGAGTAAGAGCCAGGCAGTGTTACTTTTGAAATGCAGGTTAAACCCCAGCTGACGATGTGAAGCACGTGGTAGGAATAAAAAGTTAGAATTCAAGGGGAAGTCCAGGCTCGGAGAAGTGAATTTGGGAGTTGCTGGCACGGGCAGGGTATATTTGCCCGTGGACTGGCTTCAGTTGCTTGTTGGCATTGTATAGTACCTTAGTTATGGAATCACTCTGAAAGGATATAGCCCAGAAGGACAGTTTGAAAGAAGAAAAGGCCAGAGAGAGGGCAGCATAGTCTAGATGGAAGTCAGCTAGACTTTTTGTATGAAGTTAAAACCTTTGGTTTGAATCTATGTGTTGCTATGGGCCAGGAAAAGTGGGGAAGAGAACCCAGGAGCAGGAATCAAGGGACCAACTGCTTCTGACTGCACAACCTCGGATGCTCACTTCTTAGACGTGTAACTTCTCTGAGTCTCAGTGTTTGCATCCGTAAGTGGGGACATACACTAAAATCGTCACGTTTTGGCCTCAACCTTCTCTCTAAGTCGAAAGTGCTACATAGGGAGAGAACTGATTATCATCATGTCATGATGATACGTTGCTAGTTAAAATCGTTAACTTATATTCTGCATCGTGACAATACAGTTCTTAAGGCAGGAGTGCACAGCATAAGAATTCCCAAGGCATTTTATAGACTGCAAGACCACTCTGTGCTCAGACCTCTGAGCGGCCCTGTCAGATTCTTGCTTCCATTTTGTGGATGTGGAAACTGAGACTCAGTAAGGAAAAAGGACTTGCTGTTGACAGAGCCACTTAGAACAAAAGCCAGTGTCCATTGCTCTGACTCTAAGCTCCTTATTTTGCTGTTGTTTGAACAGAATAGGAGATGACCCTGTTGTGTCGTTTTAAGGACACGCTTTCTTTTTGCCTTCTGAATATTTTTACTGCCAAAACAAACATATATTACTTTTGTAATTAAAAATTTTTATAATTTAAATTTTTAAAAATTAAATTTAAATTTGTAATCGTAATTTTAGGTTTTACAATTAAGTTTTTTTAAATTAATTTTTTAAAATTTGTAATTTTAATTGTTTAAAATTTTTGGAAATAAAAATTTACTTTTGTGAATTAAATTTTTGTAATTAAAGAAAGGGAGGGTTGGGAGGAAATACAGGTTATTGGTTATGAAACTTAAGCATCAGAATCTCTTGTAGAACAGATGTCTCAGCGCCGTGGGCTGGAAGGGCTGAGAAGGTGAGCAGGCCTCCGCTTGGTCAGATGTTGGCAGTGTGCTTCCTCCTCTATTGCCTCATCCTCTCAATAACACGGTACAATAGCAGTTTCCAGTTTCATCTGGCAGAAAATTAATTTCATCTAATTTTTGTCTTAGCAAATTAAGGCTGCGAATCACCAAGATGGCCCAGGAAGGTCTTGGTTTAGCTTGAAGTGGTTCTTGAACTTCCTAGTTCTAACCAGGCGGCCTCTCTCAGCTGCGTCCTCCTCCCCTCCCTTCTGGCTTGCAGTGAGCTGGTCTGCGGACTGTTGGGCAGGGCGGAGACTCTTCTTCTTCTGCAGGATGTCCTGAAGGGTGCAGGGGTGACAGAGTTTCCACCTTCAAGGAAAAACCATCTTGTGTTAGGAAAAATCAGGGCCAAGTCTCAGCTACACTTGGGAGTAAATTTACCTTCTGAGCGTGAGAAAGAACAGATCCTCTGAAAATAGAGGGAGAGGCAGGAACTAGATTCCGGTACCAATGATCAGAGAGCTGAGACTTAGTGGAGGAGGGGGGCTGTGGGGCCCTCCGAGGCCTCCGGATCCAAGAAGAGCAAGGCCAGCCTCCATAGCCCTGGGGTGCTGAATTGCTCCTTAGGCCCTCTGCCAGAGCAAGATGGCAGTGGGGCCCGTTGCCTGTCCTGGCCCCCCCACACCCAGGCCATTGTGAGAGAAGTTGTGGGTGTGAGCTGGGCAGGCGACACTGACAGAGGCACTCACTCCCTGCAATTTAGAAATTCCTTCACTACACTCCAGACTCAGCCCTACAGTGTCCCCTGTGCCTGCTGACAAAGGGAGCTTTATCCCCAGAGTGTCCCCTCCTCCCATGTCTCCCTTGTGACTGGGGGCCTGGGTTCTCTAGCGGCAGCGGCTGGATCTTCGCAGCCTTTCGTGGAATTTCAAGGGCTTCCTACGGATTGCACCTACACCCTCATTAAAGCCCCCAGGAAGCCCTGAAACATTTGGTGCTGAGCGTTGGAAAACTTTCCATTCTTTAGAAGAGAGGTCCATACAGAAATCTCAGGCTGGCATGTACACATGGCTGACAGAGGCTGAGCTTAGGAGAGATGCGTGGGACGCTCTGTTGGGGGGCAGATGGGTTAAGTGCCACCCTAAGATTAGATTCTCCAAGGTTCACGTGGGGGAAAGGCACCCTGGTCACATGACACTAATGCCCACAGGACACACACAAAAGTGTCCCATTCTTTTATGCTGCAGTTTTCAACGTGCTCTATATACGTGAGGTCGTGGGCTCTCACGCTTGAGCACGCACCAAAACCACCTGAAGGCTTTGTGAAAACAGAGGGCTGACGCCACGTCAGCAGGGCTGCTCCAGAAGGTCCAGGCAAGGGCCTGAGAACTTGCATTTCTAGCAGATGCTGCTGACGCAGCCGGCTTGAGGACCAATGAGTGACATAAGCTTCTGAGAGCCAGTTTGTTGTTTCTGGAAAAGGGTGGCACAGACAGGAAATGAGATGCCATGGAAAAAGCCCGGGCTTTGGAGACAGGTGGATCTTAATTAGACTTTTGGCTAGCTAACTTGCTAACTGTGTGACCTTGGGGAAACTGCTTGACTTTGCTGAGCCAGTGATTGACTATAACCCAACGTCACCAAGCATCGCACATAGTAGGTGCTCAGTGAATTTTTGTGCAGTGGCTTTCTTTGTCTGCAAAGTAGATATGATATATTTACCAGATTCATGTCAGCATTGTGTGTGATGACTTTTTTTTTTACTTTTTACTAAATTTTTATATAATTTGAGATGAGGTCTTGCTATGCTGCCCAGGCTGATCTTGAACCTCTGGCTCAAGTGATCCTTCTGCCTCAGCCTCCCGGGTAGCTGGGATTATAGGCATGTGTTGCGACTCCCAGCATGTGATGCGGTTTATGGAGAGCTCCTAGCAGTGTGCCAGGCACATTGCAGCCACCGAGTCATGTTTATTACCTTTCGGCTCTCCTTGTTCAAAGAAGGCAGGGGCAGTTGAGGTGCACCGAGGAACCTCACTGTGGTTCTGTGGCTCTGCACTGGCTTTGCCTCCTGGGTGTTGCCGGCCAGCCCAGCAGATGGTGGACCTTGTTCTGAGGCTGAGCTTCTCAGCACTGGCAGCCCCCCTTTTTGGACCAAGCCTTTTCACGTGGAGCAGTCAGATGGCTCAGGTCAGGAGTCTTCGAGCAAATCCATGCCAGGTGGGACACATTTGTCCTGAGTCACCTGTCCAGAGCAGGTGGTGAATGTTGTGTCCTGCTCAACTATTGGAGCCTGGGATCGGACTCAGAGGCTGGCCTCCGTATGAGAACGGAGCATCCATTTCTCAATCCTTGCCGGCTCTGACCCAGGCCTGGGCCACAGGCTCTCTGAGGTGGTGCTGCAGTCCCTGCTGGGCAGCTGGAGAGAGGAGCGAGGGAGGTGGCAGCCCCGGGGGACGGTGTATAGGAGGTAGGTGGGCACCCGGTGAGTGACTGTCTGTCAGGTAGCTGCTCTGTCCAGACTGCGTTACCGGAGGCAGGAGGCTGGCCTTTCTGACCTGAATGGGGAGGGTCTTGGTTGCTAGGTCGTAACTTCGTATTTGGAAGCGGTGCTGGGGTTAGAGGAAGAGCAGAAGCCAGAATTGTGTTGGTAGGAATCTCTGTGTCACCACTTCACACAATTAGGTACAGGAGGAAGCAGCTTCAGAAGGTGGACAGAGGGATGTCGCTTGCCCTAGCTCTGCAGCGCGGGAAGAATTTGGTCCTGAGATTTCTGACTTATCAGCCGAGTCTCATCCTTGGCACTGGAGTGTGGAAGGAGGCAGAGGAATGGAAGGCAGCGGGAGAGAGAAGGGCCACAGGCGCCTGAAGGAGGCTGCTCTGCTGCTGACCACTCTCCTCTTCTCCAAAGTGGGCACGGCCGGTGGGCACCTCTGCAGAATGACCATGGGAAGAGTGTTCACTCCACTTGCTTTTGATAAGGGTCGAGTGACTAATTCCTGCTTTGGTAGGTGCCAGGATTGGTGGTTTTTTTTTTTCGGTCCATAGCAAGTTTGCTTTCCGTAGCTGGAGAATGAGGTAACAGCACAAGAATAGAGGTTCCCTGGGGAATACAGGGAAGCATCCGCTCCTCCGGCCCTTGCCAGGTGAAATCATCCCACTTCAGGCTGAGCAGCACAAAGACGACCTCTTTGTCCCAAGAGGCCAGTCTGAGCTCCCACCAGGTTTCTGGAAGCAGCCTGGGAAGCTGCCGTCTCTCTGGCTCCCCTTCCTGTTTCTCCAGTTTTCCCTGGAAGGAGAAGACTGTTCAGCCTCTTCCCTCCTCTCTGTTCTCCTTTTCTGCTCTGAAGTTAAGTGATGGTTAACATTTGTGAGCACAGTAGAAGGCCCCCACCCTGCTGCAGACATGACATGGGCAGGAGCCATCAGGTGGGTTAGAGCCTCAAAGCCCCTGCTAATCATTTATTCAATCCCCAGGGAGGCTGATTAACAATACTTAGTACCCCAGCCATTTCCTGGCCACTCTTCAGGGCCCAGGCACCATGCTAAAATATTCACACACATCATTTCATTTAAACCTTACAACAACCTGGGGCTTAGGGAGTGTATCCCCAAATCGAGAGGTGAGGAGGCTTGGACATGACCGCTCACCTAGACATTCCCAGGACCCGAACCCAACCTGTCTGACTCCAAAATCCATGCTCTTACTGACTTTGTGGCATGCCTCAACAAATACTTACATTTCCTAAACACAAAGACAGTCCTATATCCATAGGGTTCAAAAAAATCTCCTTTGGATGTGATTAACTGTAGAATTACTACTTTCTAATTCTTTGTACTCATTGAAACCTTTTAAGAATTGAAATCTACCATGAAAACTCATATACAAAGAGTTAAGGCAACATTATTTTGGCAGAAGGCAGGCCAGGAGCTTAAAACCTGCCCTTTTGTCAACGCTCTCCCCGTTTCTGGTTCCCAGCAGTGGTCCAGGGTTGTAGGAGTGAGAGGGAGGGAGATACACTTTGAATTGAAATCTGCTGGCTGGGCACAGTGCTCACGCCTGTAATCCCAGCATTTTGGGAGGCCGAGGCGTGTGGATCACCTGAGGTCAGGAGTTCGAGACCAGCCTGACCAACACGGTGAAACCCCGTCTCTACTAAAAATACCAAAAATTAGCTGGGCATGGTGGTGCATGCCTGTAATCCCAGCTACTCAGGAGGCTGCGGCGGGAGAATCGCTTGAATCTGGGAAGTGGAGGTTGCAGAGAGCCGAGATCGCACCATTGCATCTCAGCCTGTGTGACAGGAAGACTCCCTCTCAAAAAACAAAAAATTAAAAAATGTGAGCATTTGAGTTGGTAATACATTTTCATATATGTTATGTTTTGCTATTAAAAAGTAATTCATTGTGCATAGCAACATGCTCATGTACATGGGGAGAAAATAGGCATTGGGGCAAAATAAACAGTTCCAAGAGCTTAGAGTTTTGGTTAGCTAGGAAGACAACTTGAAATCAGGAATTTACTTCAAGTTCTTCTTTTGAACTTCTGTTGAAATAAGGACAAATCGATGTCCGTCTTGTAAACTAGACAGGGTTGTTCAGAGCATGCCAGAAATACTGAGAAGTTTCAGTACCAAAGAGTACAGAGCTGATGGGGGCTGGGCACTGCAGGTGGATGCTCAGGACGCGGATGGAAGGGCAGAGCACATCAGAAGGTAGGCGCTGTGCCTGCCAATCTGGAGATGCTGGAGGAGAGGTTTGCTTTGGGTGGGAGCAACTGGTAGTGCTGCTCGGCGCCCCCGATGCGGAGGACCACCCAGCGTGGAGATCTCCATGGTCTTGCACCTGGCTTAGTCTCAGCATGTACAGCTGGGGCGAAAATGCTCCTCCAGTGGACAGTTACAATGGCTGGGACACGACTGCCTTGCTCAGCCAACAGGAGGCAGTCCCCTACACAGATCCCTTCCAGAGGTCTAAGGCTCGCCTGATGGCTTAGATGCTGGGGAACGGCGCACCCTCCCTGCTGCTCACTGCATCCCTCACCTGGCAAAGAAAAGCCACAAGAAATCTAAGTCCTTTCTGCAGTCTGGCTTGGGCATGTATGAAAGATTCCGACAGGGAATTTCAGAACCCATCCCGGCTCCCGAATCTGAGTCAACACAGACCTCTTGAGTAGGGCTGAGCAAACACAGCAAAATCAATGTACATATGAAAAGATTCAGCGGCTCAAAGATGGGAGCTAAATGAGGAATCAAAGCAAATATCTCATATGGAATTGCTATAAGAAATCAGAGAAAACCTTAAAGTAGTGGTTTTCAAGCGTGAAAACGGCTAGTGAATTGAAAATGAATTTACTGGGTTGAAACCAACTTCTTTTCTCTAAAACGAAAAAAGAATAGCATACATCAGATTGCATCAGGTTCTTAACAAAGGCATATTTCATATTATCTTTTTTATACCATAGATATTTTATATTATCTTTATTATACTGTAGTAAAGATGTTCCATGAAACTTTTTAGTTATATATATTTATTTATATATACATATACATCTTATGGGTGTTTATGTAATCTATGTACTATGATGTAAAATGTAAATTCTTACTGTAGGTCAATATTTTTTTAATTTTTAAAATTCTTTAAAAATTATTTTTATTTATTTATCTATTTATTTATTTTTTGAAACAGGGTCTCACTCTGTTGCCCAGGCTGGAGTGCAGTGGTGCAATCCTGGCTCACTGCAGTCTTGACTCCCTAGGCTCAGGCGATTCTCCCACTTCAGCCTCCCTAGTAGCCAGCACTACAGGCGCATGCCGTCACACCTGGATAATTTTTGTATTTTTATTGGAGATGAGGTTTTGCCGCGTTGGCCAGGCTGAAACTGCTGAGCTGGAGTGATTTGCCTGCCTCAACCTCCCAAAGTGCTGGAATTAAAGTTGTTAGCCAGCATGCCTCGCACAGGTCATGATTTTAAAAGTTTCATAAATAGTCCTGGAGAACAGTGGGTGGAGTTTGGGATGGTGAAAATGTGTCAGGAGAATATCATAACTGAAATATTCCAGATCTTCTCTTTCAATAAGATGGCCTTCTCCCCATTATCCAAGGCAAGGATTTCAGGCCTGAGTCAGCCATGAGCTGATCTCTCTTTTTTTCTGTACTTTCTGATAAATAGGTTAAGAGAGACTCGAGCAATGGTGAGGATTGGGGAAGGTGGGCAGGTGGCCCAGTCTTACGCGCCTCCTCTCTCTCCCTTCCTTCTCTTCATACTCCAAGGATGATTGTAGCCAACTCCAGCCAAACTGCAGATGCCAGAGAATCTTGCAGCAGTGGCTGAGAACATAGGATACCTGCCACGTTTACTGAAGCAATGGCTAGGCAATGCATCCCCTGCCTTGAGCTAATTGTCAGAAGCAGAAAATAAAAGTGTGTGTGTGGGGGGAGGGGGTGTGTGTGTGGTGAAAAGAAATATATCTAAAAATAATCTTAAAGGAGATGATATATAATTATTTCTTACCAAAACCCAAACCAAAACAATCACACACACACACACACACACACACACACACACACACACACACACACCACACCCACAGAGAAGTAAATGATAGCAGTTGGACCAGCAAAATGTGAAAAATTCTTTCAGGCCAAAGACTCTGTAATGCTCTATAGCTGTTATTTTGCATTTCTTTGAAACTCCTCTTAGTTCCATTTAGAGATCACTGGATGTGAATTTAATGTCAATTTCATGCCCCTGCCCTTAGTTTCCCAGGAAGGAGGTCTTAGTTGTCCATCCACAGACAGCTTTTCCAGCTGCTCTCCCAATCTAGTTCTTCCAGCAGGCAGATCGTATCCTGGGTTTAAGTTTGTGTTTTTTTGTTTTTGGGGTTTTTTTTTTCCTCTTTTTCTTTTTAGGTTGTAGTTAAGTGGTGTATACAAATTTATTACCAATTTATTATATTGCCACTTTGTATTTTAATCTTTACTATTAAATTTCGCTTTTGGTAAAAATGCTGTAATTAGTAAAATGTAATCAGTTTTTGCCCATTCTTTGCTCTTCAGTAACAACTTGTTGAGTATTCTTTCTGACTTATTCTAACATCACACACACACACATACATGCACACACACACTTTTATTTTATGCTTCCGACAGTTAGCTCAATGCAGGGGATGCATTGCCTAGCCATTGCTTCAGTAAATGTGGCAGGTATCCTATGTTCTCAGCCACTGCTGCAAGATTCCCTGGTGTCTGCAGTTTGGCTGGAGTTGGCTACAACCAAATGATAAAAATAATCTTAGGCTAGGCATGGTGGCTCATGCTTGCACTACCAGCACTCTGGGAGGCAAAGGTGAGTGGATCATTTGAGGTCAGGAGTTCGAGACCAGCCTGGCAAACATGATGAAAACCCCGTCTGTACTAAAAATACAAAAATTAGTCAGGCGAGCTGGCACATGCCTGTAATCCCAGAAA